GTTTTTACAAAAGTAGGGAGCACTTTAAGAAAAAAATGCAAATGGCAGTTGGATAATACCGGATACTCCAATGTCACAGTTCTGTCAAAAACGAGGCGCATCTTTTCGATATTAGAAAACATGAAAATGCAACGAGCTTTCTTCGCGGGGAGTAATAAAACGCGTGCTCGATGAGGCCCTTGACTTATCTAACAAGGCAGTACGCGCACACGCGCGCGAGAACACCGTCGTATTGTCACATATGTATACGTGCGTACGTGTGCGCAGGTACCGAAGGTCTCCAACGGGTGTTATGTTACCCTACGGTCTTTGCGAATTTGACACCAAGGCGCGCACCTGTCCGAAAGTGGAGTACAGAGGCCCCCAAGTATTGCCACTGTCATTATGCAGCTTTTTGCGATACCATTTTTCGGATACGATTAACGCTAATATCTCATTGTACTCATCTTCACGCGACCCGAGTTGATGTTCACTCGAGAATTTTTAAAAGAAAAGTGAATGTAAACATATTTTTTCTTTTGTAGAAATAATTTTTTAGACATAAAGTATCTACGTGTAAGAAAATTACTAAAATTCGTTAATAGAGAAAAGTCCCCTATTATTAGGTAGGCTCCTAATATAGGAGTTTTTGCTAAATTAATTGGCATCATCTGTTGGTTCGACCATGGATTTATTGCCCTTGGAGTGAAATCTGTTTAGTGGAAAATTGATTGTTGGATCGTGTAATCGTTGCGAAAAAATATTTGTGATTGAATCTGGACGTTGGAAACCTGCTATCTCATAATAGGGGACTTTCCTCTATGCCCATTTATAGACATTTCTCTTAGGTGGGCACTTAATTAATTAACGGTTAATTCTATGCGTCACTCCAGGCGTTTATCGTGTTGGAAATCGCAAAAAGTGACTTTGAGGATTCGCTTCATCGTCGTCAGCGTCGGGACGGTGCACTTGGGCGAATCGTCGCGGAACAACGTCGTTCCGGACGCAACCGGAGGCGGAATATGACATACCTTGTTCTGAGAAGTGGCGAAACGCGCTTCCTCGTCGCCGTAGTCGCTATGCTCATCGGCTGATTCGTGATTCACGCAACAGTACGAGGAATGTGTTAATCGCGGGACTCACTCGAGTCCATCACTCACTTGTTCTACGAAATGTACAAAGTCGTTGCGGGCAAGCGTGAAAAATGCGGAGAAACGCGAGGCGGCCGACGATCGACCGGTTTTACGTTATTATATCGATAAGCGGATCTATCGATTACATGGCGACAGCAAGGAGTATCTGTAACTAATTCCGATGAAATAACAATAAAAAAACATGGAAATTAATCTGAATAAATGGTCGTCTTTTCGATATCGTTTCTGCGCGCATTAATCCTACCCTGTAATGTAATTGGTTACGTGTGAATTCTCTTTTTGATAACGCATCGGAATATACATATGCCGGACGAGATGCCAGCGTGGAAGAAAGAAAGACATTTCGCTGAAACGACGCGTGATACGTTGTCGCCCTGCATTGCTTTCGCTCGGCGAGACAAGTATCTCGCGTTGGCTGAACAATTTCAATCCAATCGTCGCAGCCCCGGCCGTCTTTCCTCGGCCATTTATACTGTTAGTAATACGAGCGGCGACGTTTATATCTACACGCCACACGGGCGTGGCGGCGATGCGAATCGCGTGCACCGCTTCCCTCGAGAGGATATCCGGTGTGGAAACGCTCCCCCTCCCATTCGGTCCTCTCGCCGAGCTCTCTCCTTCTCTCTTTCCCTCTCTCGCTCGCTCATTCACTTTCGTGTTCTATCTCTTTCTCTCTCTCTCTTCCTCCCTAGAATCGTGTACACTTCCTCTATCTCCCTCGACCCCTCCAACATCGCCCTTCTTTCATAGCGCCGGTAACAGCGCGTCCTCAATGAGTCGACGAACAGTCGCATTCACGTCGGAAATTTTATGCTGCGTCAAATACAACGGCGGGACTTTTCGTGAACAGGAACGGTGCGCGTCGCACTGGGTTGCGATTCATGCTTATTCATCCATAAAAATTCCCTTTCGATCGAGCGAGACCTTACCGCGGGCCTCTTCCAGGTTTCCATATTCTCTTCTCTTCTCCGGTAGATTTTCGTAGACAAGTCAGATTTATAGACGGCAAGTATTCAAAGTTCAAACTTGAGTATCTTCTCGCAATCGATTGAAGCAATTTTTCGCTTAATTTACAGATTTAAATACAAGACTCAAACGTTTCTAATGCGTTTCTGGTATAATCCGAAGCCTGTTGGAATTTAATAGTGAAAATGGGACCGGTCCGGCGATAAAGACGTAACAATGTTTCCTTTGAGACCTCTGAATTTACGGCATTCCTCTACTCAGTATTCACAAAGTAAATCCTACGTAGCGTAAAGATTGGAAAAAGAAGAAACGTCCTCCGACGATACTCCTTCCCTCCCGTCCTTTCCCATATTTTCCTACGCCGTCGCTTTCAGTAATTGCGGAGGTTAATTGTCTCTAATTAGGTAAGTCATTCGGGCGGTATAAAGAAGTTGGTATACTCAGAATAGAGCAGTGGCGAAATGTTACCCTCGTTTTCACAATTACATTCTCTCTCATCTCCCACTCTCGTACCTCCGCGCGTTGTCTCACACATCTCTCCTGAGACTGTAACATTGTTTAACGTACCGCACATTTTTCCAATTATTATCTCGGTGAGGCGAGAAGCATTTCTATTCTTAAAAGCAACTAGGATAACGCAGGATCTTTGAGACAGTTTCCTTTCGGCCTCAAGACCTTCCCATAGCTGGCGATTCATTTCGCAGACACCCCGTATATCAACGTATATTACGGACTATTTTTGCACGTTGCACCGACGGAATTTGGACCTGTATCGGACATTGTATCCGCACTTAAAACGTGATAAGAGTAAAAAGGCCGTCTGGTATCGTCGCGTCTCCGAGAATTGCCCTGGACGTCGCGTCGGATAAATGTTTCTCTTCACATTATATTGGCGAGGACTCGATTGATGACGAGACGCAATGCGACGCCGCCTGCGGTCGTTCGATCTCGCGTAAATGCCAACGAGGCGATCTACGTGATCTCCGATCGTGTAGTCGCCGTGCTGCACACCCAATGTGCGAGCACGCACGTGCGCAACGCGGTTGCACTCGCATACGCGCAGCGATCACAACGAAAGAGACGGATAGTTTTAGAGGGGTGCGGAGGGGGAGAAGGGGGGGGGGGAGACGCGAAGACAACCTGCAGATGCATGAATGACTCGAAATGACGTGCGCGTTTATTGAGCGCGGCCTGCCGACTCGCGCTCTTGCTCCCAGCAAGGACACGACATATTTTCTGACTTCGACCAGCGACGGATTCGAACGGCTCGGGAGAGCCGGTTCCTCAATCGGCGGGAATCGAGTCGTCGTCGATCGGAGAACCACGCTAAAATTAAATTGACAATCGGTCGAGCAGAATTTACAGGTAAATATAATGTTTTTTAACATTTTCGTATAACGTACGTGATAATATAATTTGACATGTCTAATAATATTTACGTAATTTTAAAATAGACTTTATGCGCACGTAAAATGTAATAAATATATATAGCACACGATATATCGACAAATCTTTCTCAATTTTTGCCTAGCAACTAACGACCTCCGATATGAAACTTGAAAAAAGAAATTGATATCAACGAGATTTTATGGAGATAATTGAACTAACTCTTTGTCTTTAGCAACGATCCTTAGATAATGCGAAAGTCGAAATTCTTTTTTAAAAGATGAATTAAATTAAAATTGATTTTCGTGCATTAACATTTGCTCGCGTTACCAATTGTTCACGCTGGGCTGTGGTTCATATCTTACGGCCATACGGCGGCATCGACTTATGACGCTGCTCGGAGAGAGGAAAAGGGAAAGAAACAGAGGAAACGCGCGGGCGTGTGTGCGAGCGCGCACGCACGTATCGGTACGCATCGATGTGTGTAAGACAATACGCGTAAGAGTAGCGCGCATACGAGACGGAATCGCGAACGAGGGAGGGGTCGGGGGTCGGATAAATCGATTAAAACTTATGACTTACGTAAGTGAGTCTGCGTTTTGCGCGAATACAATGATACACGGCGGCTTTGTAGGATAATTTTCGAGGTGGCGACAACGTCGATTTTTTTCGATCGCGCGCAACACAATCGATCTTGCACGCCCGCGACCTATTATTGTCGCTTCCGGTAGTGCTAAAGAAGGGGAGGACGCTTCTCGAGAGAATTCGTGAGTGATATGGGATCTACTGCGTAACGTTACACGTCATCATCGTCGTCGTCATTGTCGTCGTCCTCCTTCTCTCCGCCTCTTCCTCGTTGTCGATTTATTTCTCGAGTTTCTTTCCGACGTTATTGCCACTCTCGGCCAATTAAAAACGCGCGTTCCCACGGTCGGGGTGTACATAATGTCCAAAGTCTTAATAAAGGGACGTGTAATGGAGGTGATAGTCGGAAGAAGGGTCCAAATAGGATGGGCTCTTTTCCCGGAGTCGTTTTCTTCCCTTTTTCAATATATTCACGCCTTGGTTTCGGCGTGTTTTAATGGACACCAGGGGACAGCCGTTTAAATAAATATAATTTATGCCGGTAGCATAACAGAGCGGTCACAGAAAAGTCTGTTTCCTTACATTCTTGTTGAAATTTCAATAGAGAAGGCACTAGAAAAAAGGTTGAACATTGAAAATTCCCTCTCGCGTACAACCCTTAAATTTGTAAGTTGGAAAATAAGAGAAATCCCGACACCTGCGACATGCGTCACTGTAAGACATCTCCTTGTAAAAGTGCACAAGGTACATTTTCAAAAGCTGAATACTTACTGGTAGCTGCGACCAAATCGGATGCATAAAATAATACATATCCGAGACGGACGAATACCAAGAAAGGACGGACAGAATGAGTGTCCTCGGGTTATGAGCCATCGACGCACGTACAAGCGCGTAGAGAGATACTATTTTTCCCCAGTCTCTTTTATTTTCTTTTTCTGTTTTTTTGCGAAAACGCATAGTCTTTATTTTCCGCCCGCGCAAAACTGCGCTTATCTTATACAAAGAGATTATTACATATACAAAACACACGAGGTTCTCGCGCAATTATTTTATTCGTCCCCCCCACCCTCTCTCTCTCTCTCTCTCTCTCTCTCTCTCTCTCTCTCTCTCTCTCTCTCTCTCTCCTGTCTCCTCCTTTCCGCATATCTACAACGTCGTTGCTCGCCCCATGCGGAGTGATGTTCCTCTTCTTGCAATCGCGCACTTCCAAGAAGCTTCCTCTTCAATGCGACCAGCTACGTTCTCTTCCTGCTCATCGGCAAGATACGGGAGTACCGCTTTCCCGGTATTTTGTGAATACTCTGAACGCGATCATCTCCCGTCGATCGTCCTCGAGAGCCACGCGTGCGTTCCCAAGGACGCCGGCCAGCTCGAGAACGTTCTCGCATCTCTTCGGGCGGCATGCTCGTCGACGACGCCGTGGAACTTGCGACGACCCGCTGGAGCACGGGGAGGAACCGAACAAGTATCGTACGCGTTCGAGGTGATGGACAAATTCGAGCATGCCGCATCGTCGATGCGCATCTTGCGGCGACGTCGCGATGACGTCGTTCGGGAAGACTCGATAACGATTGAGGAGATCGGGTCCGATTGATTTCGACGGGTCCGTTTCTCGAGCAGCCGCCGGAAAAGCAAAAGGCTCTTGGACAATGTCGCCATCGCGATCCTCAACGTATCCTAGAGTATCTGGAAGAGCTTCTTCAATTCCACCATGAGTTGCCAATCGGCCTTTAGCAGGTCATCTCTGAAGTATTCCTTGCATGCGTCTATACTCTGCCTGCTTATCTGTAACAGTTGGAGATATGATACTTCCGTTATCGGATGATAAAATGTGTGGTGTCACTACGGATTTTCCGTTCGTCAATGAAACAACAAAAAAATCCTCCTTTTCCGCTCTAATGATAAAGCGGAAGGTTAAAACGAAAATCTGTATATTTTGATGTACATTAATATTCAATCAATAAAAATTATTTTAATTTTATGTTAAAATTTCACGTCTTCTATTTTACATATCCCAACCAGCGGATTTTCAAACAGCGATTATTTGTAGTAGTAGTAATAGTAGGATGAATGCAAGGAAAAGGATAAAAGAGGATGTCACATATGTAACATCTTAAAGTTAACTCGGGCTTAAGAATCGATCGAGAACCTCGATAATACGAATAGAATCGGTGAATCGGACGATCATATGGGATAATCCGAGCGTGAGGACGTAGAAGTAGATTGTGACACCATTCATCCGCGAACGTCGAAGCTTGAGGGGAAAAATGTAACGTCATACATTACACGTTCGACTGACGTAACTTGTAACGGAAACATGGGCGTCATTCGTGTGACGTGCCAGCATGGAACGATCTGTTAAAAGCGAAATCTTAATAAAATAACGGACGGCATAGTAATACGGCTGTTTTAGTGAGTCGCGCGCGTTTCTTCAAACCCGTGTGCGTTTTTTGATGCCGCGGCGTCGTAACTAATTTTCACGTGACGCTTTTTGCAAATAGAGAAATAAAGAGGCCGTGTCGTATGTGCGCGCGCGCGCGCCCGCGCGCAGGTCGAACCATTCGGAAACGTAACGCTTCACAACTGTTTCCGCCCCCACTCCCGGCCGGAAGTCCCGTTTCATTCATGGATCGGTCACAATGGTGGTTTTACGCGGCTATTGAGGACGCCTGCCTCCCGCCACGCCCCTTCTAGCTTTCCTTGCTCCTCGCCGCTTCTGGTCCTCTCTCTCTCTCTCTCTCTCTCATCCTCGCCCCCCACGTGTTTCCCTCCCCTTCCTTCTACGCCCGTATTACCGCTCGTAAAGTACGCGGAACGTTGAATATACAACAGTTCGCGGTAATCATAAAAAAATTTCACCGACGGCGCAAGGCGCAGAGCGAATTTGACAGTTTAAGTTTTTTTTTTCGTACAAAGCTCGTGATTACGCATCTCGGATATTATTATGCAATTTCGGCCTGCGTCACGGACGCACGGTAGGATCACGCGAACGTACCGTATCGATCGATCATTCCGTGATAGCATCTTCCTCGGACAAATTCTATCGATCTTTACGCACGCAATTTTCCGTGATCCACTTTTCTGTTTCCTTCGCGCGCCAAGATTAGAGGAACAGATTATTCCCGCGATCGGATAAATAAACCTCTGGAGAGTGGTGCCGAGAAATATTATTCCATACGCCTGCGATATATGTTAAGCAAATCCCCTTAGTCGAGATAAAAGCGAACACGTTTGAAATATTCAAGTCGTAAACGTGACGTGTATTCGACGTTGTCTATCAAAAGTTTCCACTATCAGAAGCATTTAATTGTACATGAATGAACTTTTTTTTTCTACAGTTGGCAATATTTATTGACTTTAGACTAAACACCTAAATTAACACGTAACACAGTGATGACACGTAATTTGTACTTCCTGCTACTTTTTCACAGATTTTATGTAGCTTCTTGCTTACGCAGGAAGGAAAGTTGATCTTAAGCAGACAAAAATACCGCGATAAAAAAATACACATATATGTTTGAGGTAAAAAATAAATATTTGCTCTCATCCCATTTTACTTGTGATTTCATCCCTCTTTTGTACTTTTCGACGATATTTTCTTCAAGTGCTAAAAAGCAAAAGCGCTTGCTCGATTTCGCCCGTATGAGCCGACGTGTCGGCGGATTAGCGGCTTCGGGAGAATCGTCGTGGGAACAAGATACTTCCGGAACTGATTCCACGAACCGAACGGTAACGACGACTTCCGCTTGCCTACCAAAGCACAGGAAGGTGCTTGAAACACGATAGAAGAGGCCCGCGAAAAGGGGAAGAAGCGGGGCGGCGAGGAGATAAAGAGGGACAGGGGGAGAGGGGGGAAGAATGAAGATGAGACGTCGGTTTGTGCGAAGAAAAGGCACCGGGTACCGTTTCTCACAGTAGAAGAAGAAGAAGAAATCTACGAAACATCCGTCTTAATTAACGATCGCAACAGTCTTTACACACATTTCTACGAGACTAATGTAACAGCGATGAAGTAATTGAAACTTAATCCGCTCAATCCCGCTTTGGTCCAAGATTAATCCTTATCGCGTACTCGACACGCGCGTCATATATGGGATTCTTATTTCTGATTTATTTATCTAATATTTTTCGCAATGAATTTCTTTAATTAGAATTTGCCAGCCAAGCGTCGTCAAGCAATTTTCTACATTGGTTAATCAGTTACTGGCGTTAAATAATTTTTTACGTTTATTTATCTAATTTGTATTTTCTACTTCATCTAATCGGATTTATCCAACTAAATTAAGTTTAATTATATTCATCGTATAAAATAAAAAAATTTCTGTTTTTATTTCTGCTCCAGTGTTATGTATTGTTATCAAAGGAAAGTCCTCTATTATGAGATAGGATTGTAATACGAGATAGCAGGCCCAAATTCGAGCACACGCAATCTTTTTCGCTACTATCACACGATCTAACAATGAATTTTCCATTAAACAGATTTCACTCCAAGGGCAATAAATTCATGGTGGAATTTATTAATTTAGCAGAAACTCCATCTCATATTAGGAGCCTAGCTCATAATAGGGGACTTTTCTCTACCAATATGCATTTCAACACTTGCGGTTATTCTTTATTTAAATATTCGAAGAAACGCGTCCTAATACTCGCTTTAATTAAATTGGAGTCTACAGCATGAAAACGCAACGTTAATTGATAATAATAATAATCGTGCGAGTAAACAATTATTTGCAAACATTAGAACGAAGCATTCGAGCGAATGCGGGGCCAAACTCGTCCCGTAGTCGATATCCTCGCCTGAAGGAGGAAGACGAAAAAGGAAGAAGAGTGGAAAGTGGAGGGAGGAGGGATGGGAGATGCGGAGGGGAAAAGGTAGCGAGCTTCTACGAAGGCCGGAAGCCGATGGCGGGCGAGCGATCGCCGCCGGATGTTCATCTTCCTTTTTCGATCTAGGTCTCGCATACTAAGTCGAATTTGCGTCAAGGCAAAAATGCGCTTTTCAGTTTCGCGTGGTCTAGCGCGAGTGAAATTAATTAATACAATTCAACAGGCTGATTATAAAATCGCTCAATTTAAAAACCGAGCGATTTACGTCACGACACCTCGTATATCAAATTTAATTAAGTTATAATTAGGTTTCGATCAGTTATTGGAAATCAGAAATTAAGTTGTTTCATGTACAACTGTATAACGATCTATAATGGGTTACCGCTAAACAAAAATCATTCGTTTCCACTGACCACGTTCGATTCCGAAAGGTGAAACGTTTTTCTCCTAAGTCACGATCGTACCACAAATTCCTTTTGCATTCAGAAGAAAAGTTGATCGATCAATGATCGGTGCACTTACCTTGCTGACGAGGAAGTCTTTCGCCTCGAAATGGCGACCGAACATCTTGGGCGTTTCTCCCGATACGGGCTCGATTTTGATGCAGACCTCTTGGCCTTTCCTAGCCGATTCGACGGATTTATGGTTGTACTCTATACTGGTTACCATGCCCAAGTCAACGAACTGAAACGATAAATAACATATTGATTAATTGAGAGAAATAGCATGTGATATATTGTGCAATGAGAAGGAATGTGACGTTTGCAAAGATAATCGTCCACGTGTACATATATATATTTGACGCGACACAACTTGTCCCACGTAAATATCTAATTAATTCATAAGAATATATTATACGCCTGGGGGACAAGTTCCGAAGGTTTCCAGACTCCAAAGAGTCGTTCACTGATACAAAAGGTTTCGTTGGTACGAAAACGCTCATTTTCAGATCTCAGCGAAATTTGATCGAAGTCGAGAGGATTGGCAATCTGTCTGCCACGGCTTCCTCCCGTCAGTCCCGTCCTTCGCGCGGCGATAAGTAAATTGCAACGCGACGTCGTGCGGTCGCGTGATTTAGCGGATTCGTAGCGGATTTCCGAATGCGATTTAACAGCGAGACAGATCTGTCCCGTGAACGAAGCTTCGGCATGGTAGCGCGACTTTCCGTAGGTCTTTTTTTTCGTCATCGATCGTCGACGTCTGGTCGCGTGGGTATAACTCCGCCTAGGCACACCTTTACCGCGACCGGAAGTCGAGACAGCCGAGTATACCTGAGCGGCACAGTCGGGCCGAGCCGTGCCGTGCCGTGCCATGCCGTGCCGTGCCTGCCTCGCAACCGAGTCCGAGACGTGGGTACGCATTTTCGTCGTGAATACCGGCGAGAATCGGTGAACCAAGTAGGTAGGTAGGCAGGCAGATACCCGCATATATGTACGTAGGCCGGCACGCAGTAGGCTGACTCGCCGTAGACGGATCCACCGGGTGTTCGCAAATACCCGTATCGCGAGCGACGAAAAATTGGGCTACAAATCACCGGATTTCCGGTCGAGATTTCAACTTGTACCATTCCTCCCTGCTGTTGTAGCAAAGTATTCGGAGGATATATCCAGGAGATAGCCGTGCTTCGTTTTTCTCTCCCTCTTCCCTTCCTCCGCTTCTCTCCGGAAATAACGACATTATTGTTAACGAATCTAGCTTGATTGTAATTTCCAACATTTTGATCGCGCCAATTCGATATTGCGAGCATAAACGCGGGTGCGAACCGTCGCGTAAACGAGAGGAGGAGTTTAGTCCAAAGTGTCGATTTGCAGAAAACTGCCCTGGGTGCGAGCTTTTTCAGCAGACGCCGTTAGACGACTGTGGACTGTGAGTATATTGAATCTCGCAACACGCTATATAACGGTGTATACAGGCGAAAAAGCCCCGAGCACGTTGCCCCGCTGCCGCGACACACCTGCGGGAGCGCAAAAGTGGGCGACAAACCCGGACGCGGTCGCGTCCAGGATTTGCAAGAGCGTTCGGCCGGCCGGGCGAACGTGGTTGAAAAAGATCCAGCTTCTGCAGTGTTGCTGGGTCTCTCCGTGGGTGCACCGGGGGTGCACGTGTAATCGCAAACTGGACGATCGGAAGCTTACAATATCCGCCTATTATCGCACGAAATCGACCTGAAGACGAAACTGTACGAAAAAAACGCAGGAAACATCCGCGTATCAAAGCAATATCGAGTAATCTTAGGAAAATATGCACGTTGCGAAAAAAATATATGTATATTCGTTGGAGCGAGATGCGGCAGAGATGTGAAAGGGAGATGACATCAATTTATCTCGCATAGTGGACCACGAGAAGACCTCGGTTCCATTATCTTTCTATGTATCGCTTCAATATTTATCCCAACTACGTATCCAAACTGCATTAATTACGTGTGCGCTCGAGACGTTGCAGCGGTGGGAGGGAGCTATTCTGTGAGTGGGAATACCTTGAAGGTATTAAGAAGCATTACGAAGATAATGATAAGCAAGAAGCTTATCTCGAAAGCTTATTTCTTTCTTCGATTATGATAAAAAATTGAGATATTGAACAAAGCATGTTGTGCGCGTTGATAGCTGATACAGATTGCAACGCAGACGCACGCGACAAGCCACGTACGTTATCGTTAAGTGGACAATGACCGGTCGAATATGCCCGCCCGTGTATCCCGAAACCCACGCCAAGAGAGCCAGTACCTGGCTGGACGCTTAAGCCACCCGGTATCCCCGCCTAGCCGATAACTGAGCCATTGCTTCTCAACCCTTTCTTGAGTGACGGAACGCTGTTACTAGAAAACCTCGTGAAATAGCGATGACGAAACGGGCACGTAAAATATCTCCGAGCTACCTTCGGTTTACCAATGATTCCACTTTTTCTAATCTCAAGCAAATTTTTCCAATCCACTTTACAACGGAGAGGAATTTCAAAATTACACGTGTACACGCGTTAAATATGAGATAGGATCCTAATGTGAGATAGCGGGGTTACCGTTAAATTGGCATCATCGGTTGATTCCACCATGAGTTTATTGCTCTCGGGGCGAAATCTGTTTGGTGGAAAATTCATTGTTAGATGGTGTAATCGTCGCGAAGAGATTGGCGATTGAATTTGGCTGTTGGAAACCTGCTGTCTCATATTAGAGAACTTCCCTCTACATACAGATCCAAGTTTTGTTCTTCAATTCTGTAAAGCTCAAATGGATGATCTGCAATCTGTTATTTACTACGCGACATAGTCTCGCGACGCCTATATCTTTCTCTTTTAACCTTTCTCAAATTATACTTTAATGCAATAATTACACGTGCAGTGTGAAGAAACAAAAATGTATATGCGTCGTACAGGGAATATTGTGCGTGTCGGAGTTAATCAGCTCAGACGCGAAAAAAAAAGATGCGTTTCCCCGTGCCGTGCATGTTCCACGATACGCTGTTCTGTGGCCGGCGTACTTTTATGGCGTACCCCCGTCGTCAAATTCTCGACACTTCGCCGCGCCGCGACCGAAAGGAATTACCATATAGGTGCACGTGTGCAGGCGGGCAAACGAACCTTGTTCGTCCTCCGCCTCGACCTTCTCCGCCCTTTCTTCCAACCTATCGCACCGCACGCCTTCAATTCTCTCTCTCTCTCTCTTTCACGGCTCCGTTCTCTCAACCGCTCGAGGTTTTAAGATAAAATTCGGGACTCTCGAAGGACCAACCGCTAATTTCGTACGTCTCCTCCGTTGCCCCTTTCTCCCTCCCTCCCCGTTTTCTCTCGTCTCACAAATGTATAACATTACACGACGTATTTTACGACTGACGTCGTCTCCATCGTTTTTGTCACACTAGGAATTTCGGAAGTCTCGAGGTTGAGATGACTCGAGCTTCATCTACGATAGAGCGAATCTCGGTGATTTGAACAAAGGATTTTTTTCTAGAGGGATATCGCGTTAGGAAAGAAGTAATATCTCTACTGTGAATGGTACTCTCTTGTAATGGTAGATTTAAGAAATTTTCGCGCGCAACTAATGCATTAGATACCACCTCTTTCCTTCCAGACGATGGGGATTATCCCGAGCGACGTGACGCGGAAGAGAGGGGCCCTAATAGCCTTGCAGTTTAAAAATCTGGTCGCCACGTCGGGCCTGACCCGGCCCCTCATCTTCTCAAAATTACGGAAGCCATTACGAGCGTTATCGGCGCGCTTTACCTTTTACGATTAACATGTCAATGGAACGCAGAAGGAGAGGCGGGAGCGACATAGTCTCGCTCTCTCAAATGCGAGTCCGGTTACGCGTGGGTGTATATATACTGTCTACTTTAGATTTATCTCGTTCCAAGTGTCCGAAAGACACGAGCATCTCTCGCGTTGCGCCACGTGGGCGGAGAAGAGACCCCAGCCGGATCGGCCGGGTTGATGGCGAGGAGGACCAAACGGAAAAGCGTGTACTTATACATGTACGCCTTATCCGCTCGTCTTCCGACGCTAAACTATCTAACCATTCGCACGGACACCCACCCACCCGTTTGCTGCAGTTTCTCCGATAAGGTTCGCGCCATGCCACTCGGCATTTATCGCGCTTGACGCGTTTGTTGCATCTGCGCACTCGATGCCAGTAGCCAAATTTTTTTGTAAATTAGCAACATATATTGTTACGGCTCGCGCGCGCGAATGAACTTTTATCGCTCGAGACGCGTCCGCTCCAAGCGGGGGCCTGACTCCAAATTCATCATCTTACACAGTCCAAAATTAAATGTTAATGTTAACATCTTTCACATGTCCCGAAAAGTCTAAAATAACATTCATCGCGTGTTTTACTTAGTTTTTTGACAAATTATAAATGTTACTTAATTAACACTATACTTGACATTTATGTCCATGTTCTTTTAACCCTAAGTGTGATGTAATGAAAACAGACAGGATAAGTAAACGAATAGTTACAAATTAGATTACAGTCATAATACAATGTAGCTACGGTGCGGGGTCAAGAACCTTGAGCGTAAAATGCGCGGCCCCGCCCTAAGGATGGTTCGCGAAAAGTAAAACAAAGAGGAAAAGGATTCCTCATAAATTTGAATCGTGGATGCCGTAGGAGGGAACAGCTGCCCGCGAACAGCCTAGAGATCACACGGAGTGAAAAGGAAAGAAAGGAGTTCCTAGAAAGAAGTGTAGCGAGAGCCTCGACCTTGGCACCAAGCGTACGCTCGTGCGCCATTTGAAGGCCGATCCTTTCTCGGCGCGAAATGGGAATCCGCGGATAGATTCGCGAGACTGCGCGAGATGCCTAGCCGAAGATGCCTCGCTTCGTTCCGCGAAAATCACGCTAGACTACGTAAGTTGCACCTGCGTGCGTCACGTCATGCTCCGCCGTATGTACCGTAAGTTCCACCGCGAAAGACAGAGAACGCGAGAGAGTATTTCTCTTTCTCTCGCGATACCGAGATATTATTCGCGAGATCCGGCGAGATCGAAGACCCGGCATGGGACTGGAGGACGACGTGATTATTTATTCCGCGGATACGAGATTTACACGCGTGGCTTTCGCACTCCGACCATAGCGGGTACATAGCGTAACGGTACATAGCGTTAAAAGATGCACGTGGTGAAGGAATATTGACACACATACGGAAGGAGCATCCTCGAGATACCTGTGAATATCGGAATTCGCCTCCGCAATA